CACCTGTTAATAAAGGTCTTAAATAATTGAAAACAAATGAGAATAAGCAACAGTTCTAATAGTACCACACAGAAATGGCATGTCATGGTTATTTTTCTTCTTTCTGAGACAAAAATACCTGACCCAAAGTTAAATGAGGAAAAGTTTATTTAGCTCACAGTTTGTAGAGATTTCAGCCCATAATCACTGGCTCCAGGTCAGGGTGGCATGGTAGAGGGGCATCACAGAGGAGAAAAAGTTTGCGATGGGCAAAAAGTAGCAAAACAACAAGCACAGGATGGCCACCGTTCTTTCTAGCCTTTATATGTCATCCAGGCTACTTAGGGCAGGTGGCACTCACACCCTTAGTCCTAATGCCCTTGACCTAGCACTGCACCATGAATCAATCCCAGCATTACATATTCTAGACCCAGCCATCTCTGAAAGAGCCCCAACTATGACTGCATGAGACTTTGGGGGGACATCTAGACACAACCCATGGAGGGGCTGTTCTCCTAGTTTTATTGTCATGACATGCCAACTTTCAGAACCATTGCACATTAGATAGGTGATTCAGTAGTGGCAATTTTGCCAAATGTCTTTAATGTTTCTACTTCATAAGCATTTGGGTTTAGATTTGCTCAAATTCCCTAACACTGCTCAGTCTAGAAAACCTTGATAGGTGCCGAGGAGATAGTTCAGGGGTCTAAAGCACTTAGGCAAGCTTAGGCAAGCGACAGGGACCACACGGTTCAATCCCTGGCACCTCATGCCATGTGGGGGCTGAGCTGGGAAAGAAAGAAAGAAAGAAAGAGAGAGAGAGAGAGAGAGAGAGAGAGAGAGAGAGAGAGAGAGAGAGAGAGAGAAAGAAAATAAAACTTGACTACCCATTATTTACAGGGCTCCAAGCTGAACCTATGTAAGGAATTAACGACACCCATAGCTCTGTCATTGCTCTAAGGTATTGGCAGCCAACATGCATAAAAGTTAACACTTTAAAAAAATATTTAATTATATATATTCTTGATTTTAGAATAAACATTTTATTCTCTTTCTCCACAAAACTGTAAGTTTATTTGAAGTCATGCTCTTTAAGCTTACAATGATTGGTACACAAAGTTACTTCACAAAATTGGAAGTCTCTCAAGCATGAGCACTGAAATTAATAATTCTGTCTTTTAAAGAATGCAGGTAAACTCTTTTCAGAAGGAAAAAAATGGGGAGGGCATCTCAATCTGAGAAAACATTTTGAGTAACTTAAAAATATCCAGGTAACCATAGAAAAGATAACAAGTGTGTTATAAGTTCGTGTGTTGTTTTCCACTACACTGAGCTTCACGTCATAAATTCTGTATATAAGAACACACACACACACACACACACACACACACACACTTTCTCTAACACATAGTTTTTTGTTTTTAAGGGACAAGCATTCTCAATACCTCTCAAATGAATAAAAATCCTGTCTATATTCTTGTCTGCTTCATTTTGGGCTTCATAAAAAGTCCTTCATTTCAATCCCAAAGAGAGTGTCCTAACTCCTTTCTTTGGCTGGTGAGCTCTCTTCAGAATTCTTTAGGGGAAAATGGTCCTTTCTTCCTTGATCCCAGGATGAAATCGCAATGAATCTAACAGATTTAAATGGCCCAACATCCTTCACGTCACCACCGGCTCCTCATTCAAAGGGGTACTTTCAGTGGCAGGTGGAGTTATAATTATAGATTAGAAAAAAGCAACATCAGCAGCTGTCGCTTCTGTTTGTTCCCAGCTATAACTGTCATCAGTGGGCAGATTGGCATAAACAGGCCTCCTCAAGTGGAAAAACATCCAAGCCCTGTGCTTGTTACGCTCTGGGTCCGCACGGTAGCCAGCGAACAGAAAGAAAATCTGACTGTCCATGAAGGAAGGCTGAATCCAAGCGTGTAGCAGCAACCGGAAGGCACCTCTTCAAGGGGAGCCTGAACCTGGAAGACTCCCTTTGCTTTCGGAGCCTCCGAGTAAATAGGTTGGTGGACTTGCATTTTAACGCTAAGCTCTACTCTCTGTGATGTTAGTATTCCTGAAAGAGGCTAAGCAGAAGGGTGAGAGACTAAATGAAAGAAAGTTACTTGCAGACAGTTTTTAAACCTACCATGGCTCTGAGAATGAATTACGGAATGGGCTTAATTTATTATGCTCCTGTTCCAATGTTGGCTGTGTTCACATTAGACAAATAGAAAAGGTAAAGATGGAAAAATGAAACTGGTCTGTGGCTTGAGTCCCACTTTTTCGTAATGCCGTTTTCTTATGCCAAAAGGTCCTGGTTTCTTTATTAACATAGTAATGTTGGATTCTGCATTTGTGATTAAAAATATATATACACTATGAATGTGAATCCCAGAGTTTCATTTCCTTCAAGAAAATAGATAAATTGGAGTTGGATTATTTTTCTGGGTAGGAATAAAGACAAAATTTCTAGTGTATTGTACAATGTGTGATATATGTTACTGCACAAGAAAACTGTTACCGGGTTTATTTTTATTTTTACAACAATTCTACCTACAAAGCTCCATGATCTCAAAGTAGCACTATAAGAGTTGCCTCATGGATCCTTTTAAGAAAACGGATATTTCAGAAGAGTTTTATTTTATCTGCATATGATCCACGTTAGCTAACAGTGGAGTAGGATTTTCCAAGCTTAGCTTTGGGCCATCTATTTCAAACACTGAATCTTTAGCACCTCAGGGACAAGCAGTGCAATCTCAAAGAACTAACCCAAAACTAAGCTCTGGGGTGTCATGCTCCCCCTATCCACATCCGAGGAACAGATTCAAGTAGCAAGTCCTAAGACATAACCTCATTCTATTCAGTTTCAATCTGAAAGTTAACCTCCTGTAAGCATCTGAATGAAACTTTTCATAGAAAAAGAATTGCACTTCTAAAAATATCACGGAGCACAGAGAGCTAACCCCATACCAAGAGCACCTCTAGACAGACACCCCATGCAACTATAATGCCCAAGTAACCCACCAATTGAATTCCCACAAGGGCCTGGCTTCTTTCCAACAATATCTAATTTCTAGGATGAGAGGCTGAACTTCCCCTTAGGAATTTTAAAGGGGATAGCAAATTTAAGTTTACTTTAACAAACTTATTGTATGGACATTGCTCTTGTAAATATCAATTCATGTAGCATATCAATACCTTAAATGCTCCTATGGATTAAGAAAACATATGATAGGCAACATTACACAGTAAATTTATAGCTAATTTATTTAAGTATTTATTGAACAGTGGCTATTCAGTCCAAAATAATATTTAGTTATTCGGGCAATTTTAAGATTTCTGGAATCATTCGTCGCAGAAACTCCTGTCCTCCCTTTTATTTACTAAGAGCTCTAACACTGAGGTTATCCTCAAGTTTCAAGTGTGCAAACTGAGAAAAGAATGGCTGGTTGATTACTGGCTTGGGTTGCCTTTGATATACAGACTTACTTATGCCCTGTCTTAAACATGACTTTTTACTTGTGTTTTGTCTTCTTACTCTTCTAGAAAAAAAAAAAAAAACTATCCAAGATGACTGTCACTTACTCCAGTAAAGTAGCAAATGCGACTTTTTTTGGATTTCATAGGTTACTTCTCAAGTGGAGAGGCAGCATCTACAAACTACTGTACAGGGAATTTATTGTTTTTGCTGTTCTTTATACAACAATAAGTTTGGTGTACAGGTACTTTGATTTGCATGTCTCCTTCAATGACCATCAAATAGTATGTAAGAATACAGTCTCAAAAATCCAGAACCCTTTGGTTGCGCTGACTTTTGCATTACGTTACCTCTTCCTTTGCATGAACTGTCTGTTGTTTTCCCCGCAGGATGGGGTGTTTTAATCCACACCTAACCATTCCATAGGATATTAAATTCACTGTAACTCTCAGGTTCAAGGGACTGTCATTCCAGCCCACGTCCACGACCACAAAGAGGTATTAGTCGTGCTTCAAGGCATTGCTGTAAGCATAAATTGGATGGTTTTTACTTAGATCCTTATTGTGTCCATTTTGAATAGGGGAAGTCCACAAACAAGTAATTATTTATACTTCCCCAACTGTCACGCATGGGTTGAATTTGTGATTTGACAGCTAGTTGCAACCACATATGTAATTACGTTCAGGAATGACAAGTATCAGACAACTTTGCTTCCCCTGCCTGGAAGGATGACCCTTTCTTTATCCAGGATTGTACCCTCCAAACTTACCAGATCTCAAGTAAGGAATCAAGGCCTTCAGATGAATTTATTTCCTTATATTTTCTGATTTCAGGACATGTTATGTTCAGAAAAGGAGGCATATTCACAACCTATGCCTGTCAGGGTGATAGAAAATTTGAACAGTATCGTGTCCAGGAAATACTTTTACAACTAAAAATTATAGTGTTAATAAAATTTTATCAGTATGAGGAGGCTTTAGTGAGCTTTTCTCTGCATATATAAATGCAGGTATTTCTTCTCTGGAGGAAGTTAAAGCTTAAAACAGGAAAGCTAAAGGTTTTTGAGGATGTATTTATACCTTTCCTACACATGTACAAATGAACAAATTTGTATATCACTGCTCTTACCCACGTTCTTTTTGCAGCAACAGGACTCTATTTGGAGAAGACAGAAACTAATTTAGCTAGCTGATAATCATCAAAAATAAAATAGAGAGAGAGATTTTCCTATATATCAACACTGCTGTTCCAAATAAATACACATATTGATACACGTTTTAGCAAAATATCTTTATTAAAGGCTGCTAATAATTTTTCAGCTATGTCTTACATAATTTGATACAATTTACTTGTGTGTCTCCTGCACCTTCAGATTATAAAAATAGTGAAAGATGTGTTGATGTTCCAAGATAATTATCTCATTAGTTTATTTTTACTAATGTGAGTTTATTGTTGCTACTGCTGCTTAGAATAGAATATCCCTTAGAGCAGTTATGATGTAGCCAGAAGTACTCCTTGGTATCTCAACGTTTACTCCAGTATCCTACTTCTAACCTCCTCCTCCCAAATTGTATGCTTATGTTTGTTGCAAAGACAAAAGAATGCTTACCAACAATAACCATCAGTTCAAATTATCCTGTATTTTTAAAAGTTCAATTATAAGATCTTGTTAAAGTAGATCCTTTCTATCTTGGTCAAAGATTTACCAAGAACTACAGAATAAACTTGTTTTAAAAAGTCAAATGTACCTGTGGAAAAATATAAACACAGTTTTATTTCCAAGTCTACTAATGACCTGAATTTTTTATTAATCCTGTTATAAGCAGATAATTATATTTAACAAAAATCATAAGGCAGAACAGTAATTCATTAAATTGATTATGCTTTTCCTATTTTTAAAGATATATGATAAATAATCTCTTTAGTAGTTTGTAACTGTTAACACATCTATGTGTCTCTTATCTAAACATTTTTCTGTAGCCAGCTAGTAATAATACCAACTAGTTTATTATAAAGTATGAGGTCATAATATCACTTCCTATGTCTGATATTATTAATCTTTTAATTCTTATAATATCCCTGCTATATACGTATTATTAACAAATGACAAAACTGAGATTCAAAGAGATTGGAAAATACGCTCGAAATCCAAATCAGTAAGAGATAGACCTGAAATTAAATTCTGGCTTGTCCTGAACCGAAGATCTATACTTTCCACCTTAAATTTTCTTTTGTCATTTTGATTTACATAATAGAAAACTATTCTGACCGTGACCTGCCTTCAACATGACCCAGCTAGGCTCCTGTAACCAGTGGTGCCTCCTTTGGGGGCTCTTCCTAACTTTAGTAACTGACCCCTCCTCCAATGCCGGGGCAGGAACCTCCAGCCAAACACTTTGTTTGTCAGAATTCGCTCCCCACAGGACCCCTCCTGCGATATGACTGATGGTTCACTATTGCCTCGGTGTCCCTCGGCTTTCCTTAGCCAAGTTCTACGTGCCAAAGGGTCCTTGAATGATTTTTGGAATGGAATTTCCTCAGGTTCTTCCATCTTTCAAACAGCTGCACTCCTAGTTTTATGCAAATTCATGTGTGCACTTTCTCTTTCCATACTTTGGTCATGAGTATTACCCTGCCATTAGGCATCACTTCTGATTATGAATCTCACCCTACAACACAAATTTCAATGATGGCCTCATAAAAAAAGTTCTGTTTAACAATACCAGAAAGTGGCTTTGGTAGGACAAGTCAGATCTATTATAAACATTTCAAGGCAGTGACTAAATGTAAAAATAAAACTTTTCACCTCTAATTGTGAAATTTGTTTTATTTATATTTCAAATAACTAAGGGATTTTAAATAATTATAAGGGCTTTTGAAGTACAGCATGCACAAACGAAATGTATTAAATAGCATATTCAAGAGGAAGTAAGATCAAGATGTCAAATGCTATTATTTAATAATGACTTAACTCAGCATTTAATCAATATTCTCATTTTTAGTATACCTGAGTAATAACTAAAGATGGATTTTTAACAATATATCTTATTTTCTAGCATACCTAGATTATGTTATATTTTACATCCAAACCCAATGAAATGATTATACAAAATTTTAAAAATACTGTTTTTTTAAAAAAAAAATTAAGTTTTAAAAATAAAATGACTAATGAATTCCACTACAGCGGTACTTCTGTTCACAAACACTTTTATTTGTTCACAAACAAAAGCACTTGGCAAAATTTTGTTTTTGTTGTCAAACTCCACACTGGGTAGCAAACACAACTGCAAGCTATCTTTTCCATATAACCACAAACACGGCTCTCTTTTCCAAAATCACGGGACAAATCATGTTTGTGAACCAAGGTACCACTGTGTTTCACGGTCAGTAACATTAATGTGCAAAAACTTCAGCACTTGAAATACTAAGCAAGTTAAAAGCTTGGATGGCACATCAGCTTGTAGAGAAAGGAAGCAGTTATTTTTTCCTTTAAAAACAAGCATTATTTGTGCTTCGTTGTCTGCACTTAACGTCGCCTGCAAAGCAGGTGCAGAAGTATAATATCATAAAGGGCTGTACATTTTATTTTTGCTCCAGATTGTTACTTACAGGAGCCCAAAAACGTTACTTTGAAAAATTATCAATTTACTGTGACAGATATGCTGAACAAATTCCAGTAACCTTTGTGCTTGGTAAGTACAGGTCACACGCAGAATGCGGCCACACAGCTGTCCCCGTTAGGGTGGCACCAACAAGCCTGCATGGGAGTGTTTCCAAGCTGGAAGGCATGCCTGCAAAGCCGGCGCTTGCAATAGAACAGCAAGTTTCAACCGTAAGGTGTCTTGCCTTCAAGGCTGCTTTCGCCAAATTAACACCAAACAAGTGTAACCTGCTGTTGGACCATTACGCCTTGTCTTCACTAACTCTCTACTTTGTTGTTAATATTTGAGTTCTAAAACCCACTTACGGGCTGTTTGGCTTTGCCAGGCAAAAATGACATTCTTTTTTTTCTTCTGGAGGGCAAAATCCCTCTAGAATAGTAATGTATTTTTATATCCTCCAACCCCTAAAAAGGCTAAAATTCTGCTTAAAAAAAAAAAAAAAATTCAGTGTCTCTAAGGGGTCTACTATAAGCAACGTCTTTATGCTGTCCTTTATCCTGCAGGATTTTATGTTACTCTGGTAGTGAACCGATGGTGGAACCAGTTTGTGAATCTGCCCTGGCCGGATAGGCTGATGTTCCTCATCTCCAGCAGTGTTCACGGAAGCGACCAGCACGGGCGCCTGCTCAGAAGGACGCTGATGCGCTACGTGAATCTCACGTCCCTGCTCATCTTCCGTTCCGTCAGCACCGCTGTGTACAAAAGGTTTCCAACGATGGACCACGTGGTTGAAGCAGGTACTGTGAGTGGCTTTTCTTTCCATAGAGTCTTCCCAATGGGCATGTGGACCCCCAAAATTGTTTTGAGAATCTCTTCAATTTATCCATTCATTCAACAAAAATGCATTTTTAAAAAATTATTTAGTACAGGGTCTGTAGGGTCTCACTACTCAGATCGGACTCAAAGTGATTCTCCTGTTTTCAGCCTCCCAAGCGCTGGGATTACAGGTGCGCACCACGACGCCTAGTCTAAATTGCCATCTCAGCGCATCCTCGGGGCGGGGTCAGCACAGCACACCAGGGATCAAACCCCTGTCCCTGTGTCTGCCTAAGCAGGCCCTTTAGTCAGCTGAGCTATCTGGCCAGCCCTTTACAAGCATGTATTGATCACCTCCTGCGGGCAGAAACAGTCCCGAGAGGCAAAGCTAAATCAAATATGGTGCCTGCCCTCAGCAGATAGTCACGTGGCCTTCAGAGACTGTAATGACAGTAGTCATGGTGAAACAACCTGCCATATTACCTTACAGCTTTCCAATTCTTTACAGTGTATATTATCTTGTGTGTAGTTCATCCAGACCTCAAGAAAACACGAAAAAGACAAAACTGACTTGGAGAGGTTAGCACCTGCTCTGACTCATGCAGCTCCTTGGCTGTAGAGATAAGATTAAAATTAGGGGTGGGAACTCCTGCCTCGATGCTGTCCTCGAAGCATAAGCAGATTCCCGTAGAAATCTGCCAAGTTGCCTTTCCCCTGAGCAGGCCCTGAGAGGTGACAGTTAACGACTATTTCAGCGTGGATCTGTCCTTGCCTGAATGCCTCAGGGTGGATAACGCAGTCATTTTCTCTGGACTCCTGCAGACTGACTGCTCAGAATAAACTACTTGAAGTGTGGTTTTCTTTGGTGTGCAGATATGCAGCAGAGAAGCCTTCAGTAGGCTGGGGATTAAATGAGATAATTCTTCACACAGATAATGTAAGAATTGTGAGGTGATTTTGCCTTTATAGTGAATACAGTTTCCAATTAAATAGGAATCTTCTGTTTCTTTTCCTGAAATGTCCTTGAAAATAGTTATTGTTGCTAAAAAAATATTTGTCTGTTTGGGGAGTTTTCTGTGGCTTGTTGTTGTTTTTTGTTGTTGTTGTTGTTGTTATCTGTTCTTTCTCCTCACCTAGGCGTGTAGAAAATAGCTAAAAGCACCAAGAGTTTGAATTATTTAACCTTTGCTTGCTACCTAACCTCATGTGAGTTACTTAACTTCATTTTCCTAGTCCATAAAATGGCCTTATAATAACTTATACTAGCACCTACCTCATTACTTAATAGGCTTATTATGAAAATTGAATAAGTTAATATTTGCAAAATAAGGCAGGTGTGGTGGTGCATGCTTGCAATCCCAGCTCTCAGGAGGCTGAGCCAAGAGGATTGCTGTGAGTTCAATGCTAGCCTTGGCTATAAAGTGAGTTCAAGGCCGGCCCCGAGCTACATAGTGAAACCCTGTCTCAACAAAGCAAGCAGAACAAAACAAAATAAAAAAAAAATAATTGCAAAATACTTGAGAGAATGCTTGGCACTTGGTAAGGGCTATATGATTTCTTGCTCTTTAGAGATCATCTGAAACACCAGCATCATATAGCACTTTGATCACTTTAAAAGATTCGTTGTGAATATGACATCCCAAGTCTCCTTGGTTTCCTTTGATCGGGAAGTTGTGAAAGTCAAGGTGGAAATAAGGAAGGAGAGATGCTGATGCTGCAGTTAGAGGGTTTGCAGTAGAGTATGAGTGAGTCGTGGGGTAGGAGGATCCTGTTGGTTAAGGTTTCCAGCAGAGGGTATGAATGGCCAGGCAAGTGTACAGGTGTATCATGACATAAAAACAACAGAACTACTCAACCATCAGTTGCCATCTGTCCTCTGCATATAAAAGAAGCATACTGCTTCAGAATAAGCAACCAAGTTGAAAATGCTTCCTGACAACTTTGTTTTCTTACCCTAGTATCTAAAGAATCAAACATTTTAATAATTGTCACTTCTAAAGAAAGACCAAAAAAAAAAAAAAAACAACAACAACCAAGAAAGATGTGAGCCATCCCAATTGCTGAGTGAGAACTAAAGCTTACTTAGATGGATAGAGGAATATTTCTCTGGTTCTGACACATCCTCAGGCTGAAGAGAGGGCATTCTGACAGGAATTGACACCAGGCCCACTTCTCAAAGCAAATCAGATCCTCCTCATGTCAGCTCCATATTAAAAGCATGTGGGGAGAAAGCCAAGATGGGTGGCATTGGAGACACCTTGGGGGCCTTGGGTCCAACTGAGTCCAGAGGGGTGAGCTGGCATCTGGGCTGAGGAGCAAGTAAAAAGGGAGAGAGGGAGGAGGGTGACATGCTCCCATTCCTCATGGGTACGCTTTTCATGACATGAGGACCTCTTCCTCATCAGACTCACGCAGATGTCCACGTGTGCTCACCCCCAGGCCTCTTCCCTCCCACAGGCGTCCGGGGCACTGGAATGCCTCTCTCGCCAAACCACCAAGACCCCTACACCACAAGGGAGTCTGGAGATCTGCTCTTCACTCCTTGACATGTGTTTCAGCTCCTGTGTCTCCAAGTTGCGGTCCGCAGAGCCTATGTCCTGACTAACCTGAGTTATTGATTTGAAATACACGTGCCTGAACTCAGCTTAGGACTACTGTATTGGAATCTGTGGACATCGCCCAAGTACCTGCATAAAAACATGCTTCCATGTCATGTTGTGTACAGTGACCTTGAGGGGTACTGGATCTGTTGTGGGTGTTCGTGTTCTTGTTTGTCGCAGCACTGGGCTACATTGCCAGCCCATTTTTATCTTTTTTATTTTGAGAGAGGGTCTCACTCAGTTGCTAAATTTCCCAGGCTGAGCTCAAAGTTGGAATCCTCTTGTCCCAGCCTTCCAGAGTGCTGGGATTACAGACATATGTCACCACTAGGATATTTTTTTAAGTCCCTTTCTTGCCCCTGGAATAAAAACTTCGGCAACCACCAGCTTGTTAATAACAACAAGTAGCAAAAATTAAGAAATTAGAAACAATCAAGAAAGGGTAGATTCAAGAATTTCACCAGTTGCTCCAGAATTATAAAGGTGGCTTTCAACGTCATTCTGGCCAGAAGAGTTGAATTAGAGCCACTTAGACATAATCAGCATCATTCTGACTAAATTTTTATTGGTTTGATCCCTGACCTGCCGTGCTGGCCCTGGCCCCCTAGGGTGAGCTAAGACTGCAAGTGAGACTGGGCATGGTGGCACGTGCCTATAATCCCAGCACTTGGGAGGTTGAAAACAGGAGAATGACTCCGAGTCTGATCTGTGTAGTGAGACCCTGTAGACACTATACTAAATACATTTTTAAAAATTGTGGTTGATTTGTTTGGACTGGCTGAGGTGGAAGCAAACTGGGGGAAATTGGATGGAGCCCCAGCCTACCCAAGCATGCTGTGAGGCCATCCCCAGATCCCTGTGAAAAAGGCCCCAGCGCTTCTTTCTACTTGTTGAGACAGCTTTCACCATGCAGTTCAGGCTGGCCTTGAATTCACTTGTGTAGTCCAGGCTGGCTTTGAACTCACAGTGATCCTCCTGCCTCAGCCACCCAAGTACTGCATTAACAGGCATGTGCCACCTGGTCTAGCTCCAGAACTTTCTTTAATTCCTGGTGCTCTTTCAGAATTCAGGAAAAGGGTAGTAGGCCTAGCTTGTGTCCACAGGAGCACAAGCTTGTGTGTTAGCCAGCAGAGCAAAGGTTCAAGCCACTGCCCTCTACACAGGGAGAGATGCTTCAGAGGCCGGGCCCTTCCCAGCTGGGCCAGGGCCTGCTCCTCCTGTCCAGGGAGTGCTGACTCACCGAACGTCCTGCTCTGCCCGCAGAGAGGGCTGACTCAGAGTCTGCACTCAGTCTGTTTCCAAGTTCCTCCAGTTGGGCGCTTGCCTGGCTGTCCTTCGCCTGTGCCAGAGTTTCTGGGAAGGATGGGAAGTTCAGGAATGGTGGAGGAGACACAGATGCCCTGAGGCTGGGGACAGAGGCTCCTGTCTGCTGCTGCTGCTGCTGAGAGCAAAGAGAGTTGGCACACACCATTGGCAAGGGCAGTGCTAAAGATACAGAAAACCTTGTCGTTTGTCTCCTTTATGTGAGTACAGAATCACAAACTTCAGCATGTATTGGATATTGTTACAGTCAGTCAATAAAACTAAAACACGCAGGTCTGCAGATCCTGATTCTGGTTCTGATTGAGGAGGTCAGAAACGGAGTCCAGGAAGCAGGGTTTTCAACAAATGCCAACGGCCAGGCAGATGGTCACTGGGTCATACTCGGAAACAATGGGCTTGAAGTACATGAGGGTCTCTGCACCCACTTCTCTGTCCTGCTTCAGAGAAGGCTGAGCCTGTGTAGCTTCATTGCTGGTGGGGGGAGGGAAGGGAGGGAGGGAGGCAAGAGAATGCAGACCAACATCCAGCAGGCCCTTGGGGGTCGAGCCAGGCTGCCTACCTGCTGGTCCCCAAACCTTGCTTTCATGTTAGTAGTCATGTTATATTACTATGGCAAGTGAAAAGACCCCAAGTTAAGTCATATATATGTGACTTGATTTCATAGTCGTGTGTGTGTGTATGATTTTGATGTTACAGGTTCAATTTCTCAAAATAAAAAGTTGCTTCTAGTCATCTATTAAAATAAAAATATAACAATTGAATTTAAAGTAATCTTTTACGCTGTTAAGTCCCCAAGCTGCTCCATTACCCATTACTCATCAGAAAGATTACAATATAGTCTGTCAATTTGTGTATCCCAGAAATTGTCGTGGAAAATTCTAGCCATCTGAATGCCCTGGAAAAAAGTCACTTGTCCCAAGTCAAGTATGAAATTCTAGATCTTTATTAATTTAAATGTTTAAATGTTAACTTTAGTTAAGGGCTTTAGAATCTGCCTAGATGATGAAATACTTTCATCTAGTATTTCAAAGGCATCAAGAGAAAAAAAAATCAGTCTC